TAAGCCTTGAAAATTGCGTATTTTTCAAATAAAAAATCTTTTTGTGAAAAAACCTGTCGTTTAATTTTGGTAAAAAAACTTTCTTTAGGTAGCTGGTAGTAAAAATAATCTTCATAAATTTTTGTATAATTTTCGTTCGACCAGTTTTGATTTAATAGCGGAAAATTACCCCTCCCCCTTTCTCAATAAATCACGTTCCCGCGCGTCTTTCAGACGGAGGTCGATCACTTTGTTTTATGAATCTACTAATACACATTAAAAAAAATTAAATTGGAATATTGCTTTTGCTTCACAAATATATTAACTTACAAATTTTAAAGTTCTTATATGTAAAGCGTATTTAAATTTAGATTTTTAGGCAATTTTTGAATACCCCTATCACCCCCACCCCTTCCTTTTTTGCATCGCAGACCATTTAGCGTTTGACGAAACGTCGTTTACAGTGCAAATATACTGGTATTTCGTCAAGAATCCCGGAGGTATGCATTAGTTTTTAAATTCATGAATGCAGAATAAATATTGACTACTCTTTTTATATGTATCAGGAAAAATTACTGAAAGATTTTAGTGTTTAGTCCATATACGTATGCGTTATGCATTCCATATCACATGAAACCTGGATACGAATTCAAGTTTTGTTGAACTTGAATATGTTGATTTTTAATTTTATTTCTTTCATTTTATTCATTATAAAAATGGTGTATGTTCAACTCTTCTGTGATATAAATGGAATAATTGTAGTTTCTTTCATGTCATTATTTCAAACGAGACAGTATGTGGCCGTGTAGATACATCGACATTTGCATTATTTAGATCATAGATGTACATACACCCCTCATGATATTGTACGCATTTCTTTCAATGTCGTCGCTTCTAAAGTTAAAATGAAAATTCCGTATTCGTCCACATTAACTCCAAAATATCAAACATTAAACTCTTCATCTATTTCAATTTATATCAAATCCCACATTGATATTTTTCAAAATCTTATAGGCTACGTTTTTTTTTATTCGAGGAAATGCGAACCGACATTGTTGACAGAAAGTCAAAGTTACGATTTGCTGCAAAAGAATATTCATAAATGCAGATAATTTCAGTACAAGTGAACATTTCTTTTCAATTCTATACTTACATTGTGTATATGAGGTCTACAGTATTCAATTGTCGGGTTTATCAGGTCTTACTGTAAATGTATCTGATTCTGTGGAAAACAGTGAAAAAAGGGAGGAAAATAAACATCTCCTACATTTTCAGAGTTGTTTCTCTTTGAACAGTAAGGGTCTGAGAACAACATCGATTTTACATTGTAAAAAGTTTATCGTTTATTTATTGTTGTTTTATTCAAACAAAGAAGAAAAACAATATTTATATCGTGTATGCACAAATTGTAATGAAGACCATTAATCGGAATGTTATATAGCCAATTGTACAAAATGAGAATTTCGGCAATGTAAAATAAAATTTTTAGAATAAAAAAAAATGCTGCGCTTTCATCAAAAATACAATTTATTGTATATAAAATGAAATAAACATTAAGGGATGGTATTTTTTGTCTTGTTTTTTACGGAGTTTAATCGGGTTAATTAAAAAAATACTTATTGATTGAGTATGGTACGCACAATCACAGCCAAGCCCCAAATCCCAATTTTCTTTCATGATTGATATACATCGGGATCGTTTTACTCGTCATTTTGACGCTTTATTTTTGACGTTAAACTTGACGTCACGTCAAACGTTCAATTGAAATCGCAAGAGTTATCTCCCCCAGTGTGTTGTACGTCTTTAACCCCTAACTATAGGGGCCAGCCCCTTTTTATTAATCTAATATGAAAGCTCTTGTAGTTACACACAACTTTTGTTATATATTTCTTACCAAATTATTCCCGGTTCAAAAGTTATTACACAAAAAGTAGCAAAAATTCAAGGAAAAAAAAATTACTAAAATTGCGGTTTTATAGCTTCCTAACTTTAAGAAATCATCTTATAATTTTATCGTTGTGCACATTTACAATGTATTGGCTACAAGTTCTCCAACTTTCGTGTAAATATCATATGTCGTTCTTGAGATTTTTAGAGGAAACGAGACATCAAAATTTATCAATTAAAGGGCAATAACTCACAATTAAAGGCATGCATCAAAAAATTGAAAACATGTGAAAATAGGTTTAACTACAAGGTATCTAACCTGAAAGTTTCATAAAAATCAGTCCAAAGGTCTTTGAGAAATAGCTTGTCAAAAATCGAGCAGGGGAAAAAAAAAGAATAATAAGAAACAATAGAATAACAGTAGGGTCTTCCGAAAGAAGCGGAAGACCCTAATTAAATCTTTATATTAATAATAGCATAATGCTGTATTTTATTGGCTTTAAGCCGCTTAACCGGAAACAAGCACATATTATCTTACACAATAAAAGTACGTCATTACATTAATAATATATAAAAATAAATTATAAGATTGATTTAATAGTTTATTACAACAATCCTTACATGGAAAACGCAGATCAAAAACCTTATTGACAAACAGTAGTTCCTGACGGAAGTAAAGATCTGTTGTGAAGTCAATTTTGAAAAATATAAGTTTATCGGATATATCTAATAATGAAGATAATTCAAACCCGAGTATTTTTTTCTCTATTAGTAGAAGCCTCAGTCATGCATTGAATATAATCCATAGTAATTTTTATATTAATTTGCAATTAATATTTAAAGAATAAAGGAAAATCAGATATTTTAAATATTTTTTTTAAAGGAGCTATATATAATATTGTAAGTGTACAGGTAATATATATATATACATGTACTTTGTTTTGAAAAAAATGCTCGGGTTTGTTCATCATGAGAAAAACATGTAAGCGATAAATTTAATTATTCGAAGGCAGGGATTTATCTAGCTATATTGTTTTACTACCGTTTTATATGTATAGGGGAAAAATGAGAGCCGCAGGCTCGATCTGAGCGCCGGAGGCGCGAGTAATCTAGGGGGTCCGGGGGCATGCCCCCCCCCCCGGAAAATTTTTAAATAAATGGAGCAAAATCCTGCATTCTTGGAGCTTCTGAGGGTCATTTGTGGACCTTTACAAAGGCCACAAAAACTTCACCTTAGAGACAAAATATTAAATAACATAAAAAAATTTAAACTAGGTCAGTACTTTATTTAATTTTTTCTCTCAATATATTGCACAAATCAATTCTGTCTTTCATGTTTCACTACTAACATTGTTTTTGTTGTTACTCCATTCTTCCGTTTCATAGTGATTTAAGCTCCATCTTACTCATCTACACTTTTCTTAACTCTGCAATCGCATACGTATATTTTGACATCATGGACATGGCACATGTTTACCGATTCAATATCAAATAGAAGCTTGAATAATCTACTCTCTCTTTTAAAAGCGTTTGAATGACTAGGATGGTGAATTACGATATGCTGTTAAACTTCAATCGGACAAAAACGGAAAATCTCAGTACGATGTTATAAATATTCTCCGTTTCATCGGATAATTTTCTATCTGAAAAAGGGGAATTTTTCTACTTTTTCAAGAGGGGAAAGGTACCGTTTACCGGTAGTAAAAACAGCCTTGATAAATCCCTGGAAGGTGATTTCACGCGATATCAAAAATGATCAACATAGGATTATTTTTCGTGTGACCTAACAAGAATTATTTTTTTAACTTTTGAATTTTGATATCTTTTAAAAAAAAAAGACTTTGGGGATATAATTTGACAAAAGTTGAAACAATTTATGGACAATTATTTTTCAAGAAGAAAAACGAATATATATTTTTAGTGATTAGAATCGGACCAAGCGGCTTTCAGTATAACTGCATGTATACATTTAATAATTCTACAAATTCAGTGAGGGTGATCCGACTCCCGCCCCCCCCCCCTCCCTGAACTGCGCATGTTTTACTTTTTCCTTAAGTGGGGGACACAAATTCTCTGTATTAGCTTGTCACCTGATTCTTAACACCCTACACACAACTTTCCCTCACTGTCCACACTCAATCAATTAGGACATAGAAGTCCACAATTGTCAACACAAAATAGAAACTGTCCATTCTGATCTAAGATATGAAGACAATCATTATTAAAATCAGTTATAATGATCTGGCTCAGTGAGCCTTTAGCAATGTGCACAGGTTGGAATGGTTTATTCCTCCTGGCTGGTGTACCATCATTACAGAATTGTACTCTTCCTGTCTTGTCAAAATCAATTTGATATAAAGTTATCAAGATTAGTCTGATTTTGTATAATATGATTTTTATACGCCTGTCTTAAGACAGGACGTATTATGTTATAGGCTTCATGTCCGTCCGTCTGTCCGTTCTTGTCTGGCTAATAACTTCAATACGATTAGGCCTAGGATTATCAAACTTTAATTGTCAACCGATACTTCTTGTGTAGATGGTGTGTCACGCACAAAAAGTAGGTCTCTCTGACCTGTTAAAGATGCTATGGACTAATAACTAGAAAACTAATAGAACTAGAGCTATCAAACTTGGCAGAAGTGCTGCTGAGGTTACTAAATTAGAAATTTCTGTGAAATTCTTTTAAAATGCTACTCCTCCTACAGATTTGGTTCGATTTAAATATAACTTGGCACACAAGAAGACTACACTTAGATACATAATTATTTGCATCAGTTTTTGATTTCGAGGAACAGTGTTGCCATGGTTACTAAAAATAGAATTTTCTTAGAAATTCTTTCTAAATGCTACTCCTCCTACAGTTTTCTTCCGACTTCAATATAACTTGGCACACAAGTAGACTATACTAAGATACATAATTCTATGCATTGGTTTTTATTTTGATGAGCGGCAAGGACCATTTTTCTGTTTATTGCTGTTTTAAAGTTTCCCAACTGCTACTTTTCTCTTCTTTTGTTTTAATTATAAACCACTAGAGCTACAGTCTCGACAGAGACTTCTGGTTAATAATTATTCTGGAAATGCACATTCCATGCATGTTTTGACCCCCATAAAATAGTTAAAGGGGACATATTCTAAAAATTTTGATTTATATTTTAAGCAACCATACGAGGGGCTATCAAAAAGTCTGTGGACTAGCGCCATAAAATTAAAGTTGCTTTAGGTATATGAATGAATTTATCTAGTTATCATAATCTTTTCTATCCAAAGAATAAATCACTTATCATAGATTTTATTTTTTAATAAATTAGGAATGTTTTTGTACATGTGGTGCAACCTTGGAAACGACGTTTTTTCAACCTAGGTGTATCTAAGAAAAACTATTGTGATATGAACATTTGACATCCAAATATCCTGGTTTGGATTAATTCAGGTATTTGTTGGGACACTATTGTCCATAGAATATTAAATTTTTATCTCATACTGGAAGTTCTATGAAATGTTATCGTAAATTTTACATGGAGTATCCAAACAAATATTGCCTTGAAAATGACGTTAAAAGGGGGGAGGGGTTTCCTTTTTCAACATTCTATAACGTTTTGCCCCTAGAAAAACTAGTATACAACTAGGAAATATTTAAACTGACTACAGAGAAATAATGAGCATCTAGATTACTTGTTTTTAATACCAAAAGAGATTCAGAGAGAAAAGTAATGCACAGTTAGTGTTGATTTGTAGTCAAGGTGTGAAAAATAAATCACCTCAAAAAATTACGTTGATTATGTGTTGTAGATATTAAACACCAAAAAGCAAAATATGTTGCACAATCAAGTGAGGATCTATGCCATTGTATAAATCTTATTTGTAATAGTACATATGTATATGCATTGAAAGCCGCTGTTCATGATATTGTTAAGTCATATAAACAAGCGAATTGAAATCCTTCCTCAGCTCCTGGGAATCTTATCAAAATAAGTGTATGAAGTTGAAAAAGCAGACATTGAAAAACAATTACTAATAAGTTGTCAGACATCATAAAACTAAACGGCGACCGTGCTGTGTGATCATATAATGTCTTTTTTTTTTTTAAAGAAAATTTCGGGAAATAATTAACATATTAAACTAAAATTTTAAACATTTCTTTATTTTTTAGCTCTACTGGTCAGAGACTAGAAGAGCTTATGCGATAGTAATGCGTCCATCTCCGTCCGTCTGTCTAGCTGTCCGTCTGTCTGTCTGTCTGTAAACAATTTTTAAAAATGCTACTCCTCTTAGAGTTTTGGTTTGATTTCAATATAACTTGGCACACAAGTAGACTACACTAAGATACATAATTCTGTGCGTCGGTTTTTGATTTCAATGAACGGTGTTACCATGGTTACTAAAAATAGAAATTTCTGTGAACTTCTTTCAAAATGCTACTCCTCTTACAATTTTGGTCCGATTTAAATATAACTTGGCACACAAGTAGACTACACTAAGATACATAATTCTGTGCATCGGTTTTTGATTTCGATGTATGGTGTTGCCATGGTTACTAAAAATAGAAATTTCTGTGAACTTCTTTCAAAATGCTACTCCTCTTACAGTTTTGGTCCGATTTCAATATAGCTTGGGACACAAGTAGACTACACTAAGATACATAATTCTGTGCATCGGTTTTTAATTTCGATGAACGGTGTTGCCATGATTACTAAAAATAGAAATTTCTGTGAAATTTTATTTTAAATACTACTCGTCCACCAGTTTTGTTCTGATTTCAATATAATGTGGCACACAAGTAGACTACACTAAGATACATAATTCTGTGCATTGGTTTTTGATTTCGATGTATGGTGTTGCCATGGTTACTAAAAATAGAAATTTCTGTGAAATTCTTTCAAATGCTACTCCTCTTACAGTTTTGGTCCGATTTTGATATAACTTGACACACAAGTAGACTACACTAAGATCATTATTCTGTGCATCGGTTTTTATTTTGTTGAGTGTCAAGGATCATTTTTCTATTGATTCCTGTTTTGAAGTCTCAGGTCACAACTGCTACTTTTCTCTTTCTTTGTTTTAAGTATAAACCAGTAGAGCTACAGTCTCGACAGAGACTTCTGGTTGTTGTTTTATGTTCCTTCAAAATTTTGAAGCTCAGACTACATAGTACTAATGTTACAGCCTCAGTCCATGAACTTTTTGATAACCCCTCGTATATCCAACTTTTATTTCCCTTATAAAATCTTGATTCAGTTTAAACTTTAATTTTCGGAAATTCTCAGGGCCAAATATAATAAGTGAATTTTGATCTTTTTTGTAAGTGAATTGTGAACACCTCTAGATCAATAAAGTATCTGTGAATTGTCACCTTTCTCTGAAAAACCCAGCCGTGGGGGTGGGGTGGAGTGGTGTATTTGTCCCAATAGGACAGTTCTAGTTCCACAGAAAAAAGCCACTACAATCTTCCTCTGAGTTACATTTTCACTTACGGTATAAGTCTCTTGGGTGGCAGCTTGGATTGGGTTTTTCCAATAGCACTGAAGGTGGCATTATTGTACTGAGTGTCTCCTTCTGATCTGAGGGTGGTGTCCTGAAGTTCACATTTTTATGCCCCCCTTCGAAGAAGGGAGGGCATATTGCTTTGCTGCTGTCTGTCGGTTGGTCTGTCGGTCCATTTAGTTTCTGTTCATTTTCTTCATAACAATTGCACATACTGAAATCAAATTTGGTATACAGATATATCACATGAATATCTAGAGCAAGTTCTGTTTTGGGTACGATCGCACCATTTTTGACAGAGTTTTGCCCCTTGGACTTAAAAAAATTTCAATTATTTGCAGTTTCCGCTCATTTTCTTTGCAGCCGTTGCACATACTGAAATCAAAGAACTATATGCGGTATATTGCATATGTTTGCCCCCACAAAAGTCAAATTTTGAAAACTTCCTGAAATGTGCTGAATTCAATAAATTGTACGAGAAATATCAGTTAACAGAAAATATTATAGTTCCAGAGCAGTGTATTCACAATTTCTGTTTTTATGACGTCACAAACTAGTCCGATTTTATATTCTTTTTCAGAAAGAGGACAAAATGGACAAAATTTCAACAATTTAAGCTTTAAAATTTATAGAGCGCATGTGTGTTCAGGAACAATATTGACATATTTCATTGATATTATCATTCTACACATTATATCAAAATATTTATCCTGAACACGCATGCGCTCGGTGACTTTTATTTAAAATATCGACGAAATATGTACATTTTTCTGCCAAATTCATAAAAAACTGAAATTTACGTCATATTTGTGACGTCATTACGTACATATGACGTCATTACTTATGAAATTATTCAGTGCTTTGAAGTCAGCATATACTCCCCTGTTTAAGGACTTAATTAAATATTACTCCATCAAAGTTTGATTTTGGGGGGCAAATGTTGGTTAATACCGCATATAGTTCTTTGGTATACAGATATATCACATGAATATCTAGAGCAAGTTCTGTTTTGGGTACGATCGCAATTATCTGCAGTTTCTGTTCATTTTCTTTGCTACTGTTGCATATACTGAGATGAAATTTAATATACAGATTAATCAGATGAATATCTAGGTCAAGTTCTGTTTTGGGTACGATCGCAATTATTTGCAGTTTCTATTCATTTTCTTTGCAACTGTTGCATATACTGAGATGAAATTTAATATACAGATTAATCAGATGAATATCTAGGTCAAATTCTGTTTTGGGTACAATCATGCCATTTTTGACAGAAATATGCCCCTTGGACTTACAAAAAAATTCCAATTTAGGGGGAGGGGGGCATAAGTGTTTTACAAACATCTCTTCTTTCATTAAGTTTTTAGCTCACCTGAGCCAAAGGCTCAAGTGAGCTTTTCTGATCACATTTTGTCCGTCGTCCGTCTGTCTAGCTGTCCGTCTGTCCATCCGTCCATCTGTAAACTTTTCACATTTTTGACTTCTTCTCAAAAACCACTGGGCCAATTTTGACAAAACTTGGTACAAAGCATCCTTGGGTGAAGGGGAATTTACATTGTTAAAATGAAGGGACATATCCCCTCGCAAGTGGAGATAATCAAGAAAAGACAAAAATAGGGTTATCAAAAAATTTTCTTCTCAAGAACCACTGGGCCAGTAAAGCTGAAACTTATGTGGAAGCATCCTGGGGTAGAGTAGATTTTAAATTGAACAAATCATGACCCCCTGGGGTAGGACGGGGCCACAATGGGGAATCAATGTTTTACATGGAAATATATAGGAAAAATCTTTGAAAATCTTCTTCTCAAGAACCACTGGGCCAGAAAAGGTTAAACTTAAATGTGGAAGCATCCTGGGGTAGTGCAGATTCTAAATGTTCAAATCATGACCCCTGGGGATAAGGCGGGGCCACAATGGGGAATCAGTGTTTTACATAGAAATATATAGGAAAAATCTTTGAAAATCTTCTTCTCAAGAACAACTGGACCAGAAAAGCTGAAACTTATGTGGGAGCATCCTGGGGTAGTGTAGATTCTGAATTGTTCAAATCATGACCCCCGGGGGTAGGACGGGGCCACAATTGGGAATCCCATGTTTTACATAGAAATATAAAGGAAAAATCTTTGAAAATCTTCTCAAGAACCACTGGATCAGAAAAGATGAAACTTATGTGGAAGCATTCTAGGGTAGAGTAGATTCTAAATTGTTCAAACCATGATCCCCGGGGGTAGGGCGGGGCCACAATGGGGAATCAAAGTTTTACATTGAAATAAATAGGAAAAATCTTTGAAAATCTTCTCAAGAACCACTGAGCCAGAGAAGCTGAAACTTATTTGGAAGCATCCTGGGGTAGTGTAGATTCTAAATTGTTCAAATCATGACCCATGGGGGTCGGGTGGGGCCACAATGGGGAATCAATGTTTTACATAGAAATATGTAGAAAAAATCGTGAAAATCAAAGCTGAAACTTATTTCGAAGCATACTGGGGTATTGTAGATTTCAAATTGTTTAAATTATGATAAGTGGGAAGGGTGGGTCACAATATGTATTACAAGGGGGAAATCTGGTAAAGAACAGAATGGCCAAAGCTTCTCAGGTGAGCGATGTGGCCCATGGGCCTCTTGTTGAATATTCTTACTGAATTTGCTTCATACTGTTTTTATTTACATTGGTTATAATTTTCCCAACTTTGTTGCAGGTCTGTTGCATGTTGGCAGCTGACACTTGTTCAATATTTGCACCAAGAAGCATACCAGGCATACCTTCTGTTGTAAGACTGGTACCCAGGTGACCGACAGTCATATGGCCACATTCAGCTGTGCAATTCTTCATTCCCAGCCAGATCTTCTCAACACTTTGTAAGGCTTTTCTCTGTGACTGGTATAGCGGCACCTCTTACATCGGATGGAAAGGATCTATGCCAGGCCTCGTTTTTCTTCCCCATGCTGATTCCAGTCAAGAGGACCATCACAGTCTGAAAACTTATGTGAGTGTTCTTAATGCATTGTTCCACAATTTAGCAGTCTTTTCTTGATGAAGTACATTGTATATTTTTGAATTTGGGTCGTCTGACACAGCTTTCATGTAGGTGTCTACTTGCAGAACCTCACTTGGCCCGGGTTGTAAAAACTTCGTCTCACTGCTTTGGCTCTTGGCATCTATAACTGCAAACTCTCAAATTTTTCTGTGGCAGTACAATGTCCTCAAACTCTTCTTTACTACATGTATGTCTTCTTATGGGAACTAGATACTGGACTGGACTGGTTGTCCCAATTTTTTTCTGGCTTTTGTTGTGGGGAATACTCTCTTTTTTGTATTGATGTTGATGCAACCATTTTGGTCCTTTTTTGGCATGATAAATATTTAACTTTACACGTGTAGACTTTTTCTAAGAATATGCCATTGTATGTGGTGCACATTTTTAAGTATTGTAAACCTTTGTGTTGTTTATTTATTTCAGAGCTGCCTGGTCTTCTAAGAGAAAATTCTTTGATGACTGATGGAAAAGCCTCATCACCCCCACTGCTTAAGAACCCCTTAACTTAATCACCAGCCATTAATCAGTTATCACTGTTATCAAAGGTACAATATTGAAGTCTCTTCTGACACCATTTTTCTGAACACAATTTGTCCGTAGTCAGTCCGTCTGTAAACTTTTCACATTTTCTACTTCTTCTCAAGAACCTTTGGGCCAATTTTATCCAAACTTGGTACAAAACTTCCTTAGGTTAAGAGGAATTAAAATTTTAAAAATCAAGGGCCAAGTCCTTTCACAAGGGGAGATAATCAAGAAAAGACAAAGATATGGTGGGGTCATTAAAAAATCTTCTTCTCAAGAACCACTGGGCTAGAAAAGCTGAAACTTATATGGAAGCATCCTGGGGTAGTGTATATTCTAAATTATTCAAATCATGACCCCCGCGGGTTGGTCTGGCCGGGCCACAATAGGGAATCAAAGTTTTACATAGAAATATACTGAAAGGGAAAAGAAACGCAGGGTAGTATAATTTACGAAAACTTTCTGACCGCATGACCGAAAATTATGAAAATTGGTCAGATGAGAAATTTAGTTACTATGCACCAAAATCAGTATATAGAATTTCTCAACTGTAAACTGTATGATGTCACGGAGAGAAAATGCTAAAAAGTCAAAAACACGTGCAATTAAATGATGACGAGTTTGTCAACAAATCGTGTTGCACCAATTAATGCACCTGAGGTATACACATCGTTTTTCAATATTAAGAGACAATATGAATTTCTTGCAACCTTGGTACAGTTTACGGATGTTCCGTGGGGTCTGGTTTTTGATTTGCCTATATCATGAAAATGACAACAACGGGTAACTTAGCAGTTTATCCTAAATTTTCCCCCATAAAACTTGTTACCTGTTGTCAGAGAAAGCCTGGAGAGGTTTTCAATCAACCTTGACGATGACGTAAATGCAAAACAGAGTCATGTTACGGGCAGTTTATTTGTCCTGCCATCTCATACATCGCCACCTAAGTACCATAAAAACTGCTATTTATACAGTAGACTATGATAATCATTACATTCACACGAAAAATGAAAGAAGACAATTCAGCAATTTGGTTTTTTGAGCCGGTCAACTTACTGTTGTGTTCCTCTCACTGGTGCAGGCGTGCGTCGTTTGACTAATTTTTTGGCACAGTTACCCATGCTCAATGTAGCCAGGGTTTGAAAGATAAACACTCTTATGAATTCCATGCAAAGGAAAAGTAAGGCTCTGAAGATGCGTGGGAGAGACATTGAAGATAATGAGAGTTTTTGATTTTCACTTTTGGAGGATATCGTCTTATGAGCTTCAATAACTCATGAATTATTAGACAAAATCAAATGGTGTTTTGGTTATGTCTTTTTGAAAGATGATTTTAAAAGTTAGATAAAAATAATGAAATAAAATTGAAAGAAAAATAAATTTATTCACCTCAAAAGTTTACCCTGCGTTTTTTTTTCCTTTTAGTATATATAGGAAATTTTTTTTTTAAATCTTCTCAGGAACCACTGGACAAGAAAAACTGAAACTTATGTGGAAGCATCCTGGGGTAGTGTAGATTCAAAATTATTCAAATTATAACCCCTGCGGTTTGGTCGGGCCGGGCCACAATTGGGAATCAAAGTTTTACATAAAAGTATATACGAAAAAGCTTTCAAAATCTTTTTCTCAGGAACCACTGGACCAGAAAAGCTGAAACTAATGTGGAAGCATCCTGGGGTAGTGTAGATTCTAAATTGTACAAATCATGACCCCAGGGGTAGGATGGGGCCACAATAGGGAATCAAAGCTTTAAATAGAAGTATATAGGAAAAAACTTTCAAAATCTTCTCAAATTCAATGGGCTAGAAAAGCTGAAACTAATGTGGAAGCATCCTGGGGTAGTGTAGATTCTAAGTTGTTGTTTAAATACATGAAATCTTTGAAAATCTTCAACTCTGCTCCTAGGAATTAAATAAAGAAATTAATTACATAGTTATGATTAGCAAGAATGCCTCTTCCAAAATCGTGAATTTTATGGCCCTAGGGTCAGGGGTTTTGGTTTTTGGGTGGGGCTCTTATTTATATAGTGAATATACTTGAATTCTTTGAAAATCTTCTTCTCTGTTCCTAGGGATTTTATAAAGAAATTAATTACATAGTTATGATGAGCAAGAGTGCCTTTACCAAATTTGTAAATTTCATACCCTGAGGGTCAGAGGTTTTGGTGTTAGGGTGGGGCTAAATAGATTATATAGTGAAAATGTGTTATTGTTTTGAAAATCTTCTTCTCTTCTCCTAGGTATTAAATAAACTAACTAAGCACATAGTAATGATGAGCAAGAGTGCTTCTACCAAAATTGTGAATTGATGGCTTTTGGGATCAGGGGTTCTGGTGTAAGGGCAGGGCACTTTTGATTTTATATTGAAATTACATTATTTTATTCTTTGAAAATTTTTCTTATCTTGTCCAGACTATTCAAGTTGGCTCAGTCGTTAGAGAGTTCGCTTTGTATTCGGGAGGTCGTGAGTTTGTATCTCGGTGGCGACTGACTTAGTAGTTAAAAAATGGGTGGCAACTGTTCTTTCGCTGTGCACTGGGCAGTTTGAAGTGAAAGTTGCGGGTCCCTCGGATGAGACCTTAAAAAGCAAGGCCCTGTGTAAGTGGCAGGCGTTGGCACGATATAGATCCCTTGCTGCTGAATGGCTCCGAGTGCTGAGTAAAGGACAAAATTTAAAGCCCTTCACCAGCATACGATGACGTCTCCATATGAGTGAAAAATTCTGGAGAGGGACGTTAAACAATATACAATCAATCATTATACAATCTTCTCTGCTCCTGGGTATTACATGTAAATAAACTTACTAAGTACATAGTTATGATGAACAAGAATGCCTCTACCAAAATTGTGAATTTTATGGCCCCAGGATCAGGGGTTCTGGTGTTGGGGGTATTCTTTGAAAATCTTCTTATCTGCTCCTTGGTATTACATGTAAATAAACTAACTAAGTTCATAGTTATAATAAACAAGAATGTCTCTACCAAAATTGTGAATTTTTGGGCCCTAGTGTTAGGGGTTCTGGTGTTAGGGCAGGGCTATATTGTTCTATTAAGACTGGTACCCAGGTGACCGACAGTCATGGCCACATTCAGCTGTGCAGTTCTTCATCCCCAGCCAGATCTTCTCAACTCTTTGTAAAGCTTTTCTCTGTGATTGGTATAGCGGCACCTCTTACATCGGATGGAAAGGATCTATGCAAGGCCTCGTTTTTCCTCCCCATGCTAATTCCAGCCCAGAGAACCATCACAGTCTGGAAAGTTATAAGAGTGTTCTTTAAATGCATTGTTCTATAATTTAGCAGTCTTTTTCTTGATGAAGTACATTGTATAATTTTGAATTTGGGTTGTCTGACACAGATTTAATGTAGGTGTCTACTGGCAGGACCTCACTTGGCCCGTGTCGTAAAAACTTCATCTCACTGCTTTGGCTCTTGGCATCTATAACTGCAAACTCTCAAATTTTTCTGTGGCAGTACAATTTCCTCAAACTCTTCTTTACTACGTCTTCTTATGGGAACTAGATACTGGACTGGACTGGTTGTCCCAATTTTTTTCTGGCTTTTGTTGTGGGGAATACCCTCTTTATTGTATTGATGCAACCATTTTGGTCCTTTTTTGGCATGATAATTGTTTAACTTTATACGTGTAGATCCAGCTATTTCTGATGATCCCACGCTAACCTGAACAGGTTGGGGTCCATTCTGAAACCATGCGTGTTCATTATTGATTGCATGCTTGATATGTACAATAAGTGGTCAAGTTGAGCATTATATATGACACAGCTGTGGGAGGAGTTCATTTTAATACATTCATTTGATTGGCTGAGGTTATGTTCTAAGTCAATAAGATCATATTAAGATTAAGAGAAATCTTTGTCAGAAAGAATGGGCTTCGTTTAAGATTTTACTATTACTGAAATTTGCATGTTTTATATTATCCACAGTGTCATGCTGTCCCAGTCAGACAACTGAATGTGTCTCTAATTCTGAAGATTTCCATCATGGAAATCAAACGAATTAAGGGTTCAGCCTGACTGTTTAGGTTCCTCAGGGACAAAGATGTCTCTGTTGTCTAAACTTGTACATTAGGCAAGAGTGGCTCAACCTGCGACATGACAAACACTAACATGGGTGTAAGTGAAGCTTATGGTGTCCCTTTTGGTGACTGGGGGACTGCCTTATTGTCCAAGTTCCCCTCATAGAATCCTATTAGCTGATAACATGATTGGTTTATAATTTTGTAGAATTATGTAATGTGAATTTTGAACTCAGATTAGTATATTATACTTTTTGTTCTTTTGATTAATGCAGAAAAACTCAAGATGAAGTATAAAGTACCTAAATATGATGTAAATTAAAAAAAAAATTCTGAATACATTACTTTTGGTTCCCTGTGATTATTTAAACATTATCACAGATATGAACAATCCACTGGCTGACTCTCGAATTTTCTTAAAGAGCTAATTTTTTTTACATATAACATATTTTATCATTTTGTGTTTTCAGGTAAGATTTACATACCTTGAGGTTTCTAAAATCACCATGATGAAAATTAAAGAAAGACCTGCAAATTGACTAACTCTCTATCTGAAAGTGGATGAAGATGAGTGTCCAATATTTTGCTACAGTGAACGTTACAATTATCTTAACCAAAAAGATGGAACAATAATTTTCATCACACTCATTATTATAAAGAAGATGCAGTCTGATTATGAAAAGACACAATGAATTTTCTGGTTAGTAAGTTAATGGTTAAACCTAAGGAAAACTATGAAAAGAATTTTCAGTATGAATTTTAGCTACCAGGTAGATTTTATTTATTAGGTCACCTTAGTAAAGTCAGGTGACCTATTGCTATCTGTTTTCATATGTTGTGTCTCTGTGTCGTCTGTCATGGGTTAACATTTGAACATTTTCAGATTCTTCTCTGCAAGCACAACAAATTTAGGCACAAAGCATCTATGGATGAAGGGGAACAAAAATTTTGAAATTTTTGGTCCCTGGGGCCAGAGGGTTTGGTACAAAACCACAAAAATTAATACAGTCTCTAGAAGACTTCTTCTTTACTACTGGACATCAACCTGTCAAACTACATCGTTATATCTGGTGAGAATGATTCTTCGATCCAATTCGCAAGCTGTGAATTTTATGGCCCCTGTCTCAGATTGATTGATTGATTGTATATTGTTTAACGTCCCTCTTGAGAATTTTTCACTCATATGGAGACGTCACCGATGCCGGTGAAGGGCTTCAAATTTAGACCTATACTCGGCACTCAGGGCCATTAGCAGTGAGGGTTCTTTATCAAGCCAACGCCTACCGTGACACGGGACCTACGTTTTTAAGGTCATATCCGAAAGACCCGTAACTTTCACTTCTAGTGCCGAGCGCTTGGCGAAGGAACAGTCACTACCTGTGTTTACGTCTTAGGTATGACGCGGCGCCGCGATCGAGAATCGAACCCGGGCCTCCCGATCACGAAGCGAACGCTCTACCACTAGGCTACCGTGACCGGTTCCCTGTCTCAGAGGTTCTGGTGTAAGGGCGGGGCTCTTTTAATTATACAGTTAAAATTCATTAATTCTCTAAAGATCTTTGGTATTAAATAAACCCACCAAGTACATAGTTATATTAAACAAGGCTACTTCTTTCAATATTGTGAGTTTCATTGCCCAAGGTTCCTGAGTTCTGGTGTTAAGGTGGCACTTTATTGATTATATATGTGAAAATGTGTAAATCTTCTCCTCTGCTCCTGGATTTTAAACCAATGAACTATGCACATAGTTAAGATGAGGAAGGATGCTTCCCAATTTATGAATTTTAGGGCCCCTGGATAAGGGGTTAGGGCAAGGCTCTAGGGATTACATTATGAAAATGCATGAATTCTTTGAAAATCCTCCTTTGGTCCTGATTAATATGACAATAATCTAAGTACATATTTATGATGGAGAAAGGAACTTCTTCCAAATTGATTAATTTCAGAGCCCTTTGCCTGTGGAACAGTGTGTGTGTGGGAGGGGGGGGGGGGGGCTTAGTCTTGAAATAAATTAATGCTTTAAAATCTGCTCTTTAGTATTAATCAACCATTTTAATAATGAAATAAAATTATGACAAAATTAAAAAAAACTGAAATACTAGTAAGTGACCCCAGTGTCAGTGGTTCCTGTTTGGGTTTCCTCCCATGGGATGTAGCAAAGAGATCTAAGTAACATTCTTGCATCAAAGTACTCTAAAATCAGAAAATGTTTTCATCATTGAAAATTTAAACATACAATGCTGCAGCATTATTAAGTTCACTGAACATGCTTATCATTTAACAGTAAGTTTTTATAATGCCCTTCTTTGAAGAAGTGAGGGCATATTGCTTTGCTGCTGTCTGTAAGTCGGTCTGTCTCTTAGTCCGCCATCATTTTCTGTTTATATTCTTTGAAGAGGCTACACATGTTGATATGATATTTGGTATACATATTTATCATAAGAATATAGAGGGTACGTTTTGGTAATTTTTGATAGAGTTGTTCTCCTTTGACTTGAAAAAAAATTCCAACTAATTTGGAGAGGGGTGCAGAAGTATTTTACAAAAATCTCTAATTTAGGTTAAAGTCCTTGAAAATACAACAAATAATCTAATTTCTATGTTTTATTTATGATTGTCTGTTGTCCGTCCATCTGTCTGTAAACATTTCACATTATCAACTTCTTCTAAACTAGCTAAACTTGGTACAATGTACAAAGCATCCTTGGGTGGAGGGGTGTTAAATTAGTGAAAATGATGGGCCAAGTCTGCTTGCAAAGCGAAATAATCTGTAAAAGACAAAATTAGGGTGAGGTCACAAAAATTATTCTAAAGAATCACTATGCAAGAAAACCTAAAATTTATGTGAAAGCGTCCTGAAGTAGTGTAAATTCTGAATTGTTCAAATCATGACCCCAAGGGGCAAGGCATGGCCAATATGGGAAATAAAAGTTTTACATTAAATTGTATGGGAAAAATCTTCTCAAAAACCACTTTCAAGAAAATTTTTAACTTGCATGGAAGCATATCGGGGAAGCGTAGATTCTACATTCTTTCAGTCATGACCCAGAGAGTATCACAGGGCACCAAGCTGGGCCACAATAGGAAATCTCGAGTTTTTTATTGAAATCATTAAGAAAAATCTTTGAAAATCTTTTTATCAAGAACCATTGGGCTAGAAAAGTTTAAACATCCTGGGGTAGTGTAGAGTTTAAATTATTCAAATATTGACCCTTGGGATAAGGTTGGGGCCACAATAGGGAATCCCAATTTTAACACTGAGTTATAAAAATGAAGGGCCATATCCCCCTACAAGGTGAGATAATCAAGATAATACAAAAAAGGGTAAATTCGCCTGAAAACATCACGAACCATTGGGCCTAAAAAGCTGAAATTTATGTGGAATCGTAATGGGGTAGTCACGATTCTAGATAGTTCAAATCTTGACCTCTGGTTGTAGGACTGGGCTACAAAAGGGAATCCAAGATTTACCTTGAAATATGTGAGAACAATCTTTGAAAATCTTCTACTCAAGAATACTTGGTCAGAAAATCTTATAAAGTTAACATGTGTGGATTGATTGATTGTATGTTGTTTAACACCTACTGAGACACAGGGCCTAGATTTATACGGTCTCAACTGAAGGACTGGTTTCCAGGTCGAGCTATGGGATTCGAGCCTGCAATGTAAGGATTGACTCCTTACTTTGTGCCTCTAGAGCAGACGCTCTAGCCACTGTGCCACGCGGGCGACAACATGTGTGGAAGCATCATGAAAAAATATTGATTCTAAATTGTGAAATTTATGACCCCTGGGTGTAAGTTGTGTTCACAATTGGTTTTACAAGGTGAAATCTATTAATGAACAGTATGGACAATGTAACTCAGATGAGCGATGAACTCCATGGGCCTCTTGGTCTTTGTATACTTGGTTTGTCCTTGATATTCATTCTTATTGTTTGTTCTTATTATCAAAATAATAATTTGATGGTATTTTTGTGGCATGTTTTGGGGAAACCTGTGTTTTTTTGTTTTCCTTTTGCATCTTGTATATTGATTAATCAATTCTGTTTTGCTCAATAAATTAATCAATTTAAAAAATTCAATAATTTTTAATCTATATTATACATGTTTATACATTATGTTTTGGTCAATGCAAAATTACTGCATTGTAATTCCTGTGTGATATGAATAAATCCTATGGTTAACAGTGTTTTATGTTATTTTATACAATCTTTTTTGTGTTATACACCAGTGGTGTTTGTATTCTGAATAACTCGCTCTTGAGAATTTTGATTATGGAGAGCTGCAAATTTGTAAATTACTCTGCACTTATAGCCATTGAGCAATTAGGGATCCTTTTAGCTATTCTGAGCCAAAGGCTCAAAGAGCTAATGCTATGGCCATTTGTGCAGTGTGGGTAAACGTTTTAGAAAAAGGGCCATAACTCAAGAACGTTTTGGCCAATCAGTGTCTAATAAATGTCGCAGGGAATCCTTGGCCCAAGGCTACCATTCTTAATAAGGTAAGGTTTGGGACCCTTAAACTATGTGAGATAATAAGGAAAACAAAACCGTAAGTACTGGTTGCTAACTTCTTCCCCAGAACCACCAGGCGGATTTTCACCAAAATTATATACAAGATCAGAATATGACGAAGATTAAAAATTGCACGGGGAATAACCCTGGGGCAAAGGGCGTGGTCTCTAGGTCATTTCAAAATTGACCTAAACTTACACTTAATAAAAAAAGTTTATATTTTGCTTACTTCTGACAATATTAGGGAACAGTTACCTACTTTTGACATTTTATGGCTATATTTAAGTATCTCTGATACTTATTGACTTAGAATCATCAAACTTTGTCAGTTGATGCATCTTGGGTTTTAGGAAAATGTCGACCAAAAAATAGGTCACGACCTACATTTGAATTTCGCAATTGACCTCTAATCATCAATCTTTGTCAATTAATGCATCTTAAGGCCTCAGAAAATTTCAATCATAAAGTAGGTCACCGTGACCTATGGTATTTTATAGTTATATATTATTATATCTTCAGTCTTAACTGGCTTAGAATTATCAAACTTTGTAAGGTAATACATTTTGGGTCTTGTGATACTTAGAGTTTGAGGCTTCAAAGAAGTTACATATTGTACAATTTATCAGAAGAACGAATTAAGGCCCTTGGGCCTCTTGTTTTAATTGTCAGCATATACTGCGACACAGGACCTTTGTTTATACATGATCTCATCTCTATGACTGGTCTCCACATCCCACAGTGGGATTCGACTCGGTGCTGTTATGATCATCTCCTTACTTTACAACTGTGCTATGCAGACATGTTTTTTCATTGTTCAAATCTGCATTTATGTTTAAATGACAGTAAAATTAATTTTAAAAAATTATAAAATTTAGTTCCTACCAATTCTATATGATTTTTTTAAAGAAAAATATTTATCTAAGAAAGCTCTTAGTTCATCTTTACTAAAGGTTGAGAGCTTTTCATCGGGTGTCTATTTGAATACTTTTCCCAAATTGAAAAATAACAGGACGAAATGGTCTGAACAAACCGCCCATGTGTAAAGAAGGTTCAAATTTGTGAATTTAAAGAGTTAAGAACCCTTCCAAGGGTAACTTATCAAGAAAAAGACCTTAGTCATTATTAAAAAACTGAAACTTTTTAAACATTTTGTCAAAATTTAAAAGAGCCTTGAGAATCAATTAGGCGCAGGGGTAGGTTGGGCCATTTTTCCAAGATTTATCCAAGATTTTGACTTTGCTTGAAATATTATAATTATAAACAGAGGAAATGTAGGGATGTCCTAGTATCTACCATTCAAAAGTTATGGCCAAAGTAAAAGTTTGGAATTTTTGTGTAAAAGTGAGTCAAACTCCAAGGTCAAGGTCATAATTTATATAAGAACATATACTTAAAAAACATCCCTACATTTTCTCTGTTTATAATTATAATATTTCAAGCAAAGTCAAAATCTTGGATAATTTTTAAAGGCAATCACTATACTGTATTCGTATCAACATTATTGCTATTGAGGCTTAGAGGGTTATTGATATTTTATCTAACGTAACTCGTCAAATTTTTGTTGTCAAATTCTATATAGAATAATAATGTATTACTTTTCCTTTAAA